TTAATTCTGGGCTCTCTATTCTGTTCCATTGATCTATATGCCTGTTTTTATGCCAGTACCATACTGTTTTGATTACTGTAGCTTTGTAGTATGTTTTAATGTCTGGTAGTGTGATCCCCCTGATTTGTTCTTGTTTCTCAGGATTGCCATGGCTATTTGGGGTCTTTTTTGGTTCCATATAAATTTTAGGATTATATTTTCTATTTCTGTGAAAAATGCCCTAGGTAGTTTGATAGGAATTGCATTGAATCTATATATTGCTTTAGGCAGTATGGATATTTTAACTATATTCATTCTTCCTATCCATGAGCATGGTAGGTGTTTCCACTTGTTTGTATCTTCTTTTATTTCTTTCTTCAGTGTCTTATAATTTTCAGAGTATAGGTCTTTTACTTTTTTGGTTAAATTTATTCCTAAGTATTTTATAGTTCTTGAAGCAATTGTAAACGGAATTGTTTTCTTAATTTCTCCTTCTGATAGTTTATTATTCGTATATACAAATGCAACTGATTTCTGAGTATTGATTTTGTATCCTGCTACCTTACTGAATTTGTCTATTAGTTCCAATAGTTTTTTGATGGAGTCTTTGGGGTCCTCTATATATAGTATCATGTCATCTGCATTTTCCATGTTAATCTATGGCTTCAATACAATCCCAATAAAAATTTAAACTGATTTTTCTGCCGAGATTGACAAACTAACTACATATATAGTTTACATAGAAATTCTAAGGACCTAGAATAACCAAAACACTTTTAAAAGAGCAGCATTGGGGCACTTTCTTTACCTGATTTCACAACTCAACTGTAAAGCTAGAGTAATGAAGACAGCGTGGCATTGGTTAAGGTAAGACTTGTGGAACCCAGAATCCAGGCCCAGACCATATACACGTGCTCAACTGATTTTTAATGAAAGTGCCAAAGCAATTCAGTGGGGGAAATGAGTGTCTTTTGAACAACTGGTTCTGGGTCAGGTGGGTATATGCGTGAAAATGAAAAGGCTGTGGGTGAACTGCTCACTCCCTCATCTGCTCGGAAGTGCCCTGAGTCACGGTCCCTGTGTATTGCTGGCACTGATGACTTTTGATGTGCTTGCCATCTCTCTCTCTTAGTCACCTGCGAGTGTATACGTTTTTAGTCTTAACTATCAATTGAATATCTTCTATTTAATTATTTTCTTCTTTTTAGTTCCTTTGGGTTCAATCTGTTGTTTTTTCCCCCCAAGGTTTGAAGATGGATGCTCTGGTTGTTTATGTTTATGCTTTATATTTTCAATATGATATTTAAGGCTATACATTTCCTATTAGCACAGATTTAGCTGCATCCCCAAAGTTTTGATATGTATTTTCATTGTATTTACATTTTTATTCATTCAAACATTTTATATTTCCATTGTGATTTCTTGACTCATGTTAAGTTTTTCTTAATTAGGCAACTTCCCAAAATGATTGTGAATGTGTCTATTTGTCCTTGTAGTTCTATTTTGATTTATATATTTTGAGGCTGTGTTATTAGGCACATATAAATTTAGAGTTGTTAACTCCTCATGGTGAATAAAAAAGTTACAAAACTTTCATTTATTAAAATTTGCAAGGTATATATATTTCTATCCTTTAACTTTCAACTTTTCTGCACCTTTGTGATGTAGATGTGTCTTTGGCATAGCATATATTTGGGTATGAAACTCAAATTTTTAATTCATTCTGACAATCCACCTTTTTAATAATACATTTATTCTATTTATATTTAATGACATTACTGATATGTTTGGTTTAAATCTGCCACCTTTTTATTAGTCTTACCTTTCATATTTTTATTTTCAGTCTCCTTCCCTGCCTTTATTTGAGTCAATTGAAGATTATTTAAAATCCTGTTTCTCCTTTTGTCAAGGACCGTATTTCCCCATGTATAAGACGCACCCTTTATTGAAAAATTTGGGGTCTAAAAACTGGGTGCGTAATTGTAATAGATATGTAGGATATTGGGGGGGGGGAAGTGGGGCAGCAGATTGCGGGAGGAGGGTTGTCACCTTGAGGGGAAGAAGTATAACTATTGCACTGTGTTGTACAGCTGAAACTAATTCTAAAAAGTGTGCATTTCACAATGAAAGATAATTTTAAAAATTAAAAAACAAAAACAAACAAACAAACAAAAAACTGGGTGCATCTTATACAGTGGTTGTATGAGCACAAAAACAAGCGTGAAAAAAGCAGGAAATGCAAGTAAAAAAAACTACAACCAGTGTATAAGACACACCCAGTTTTTAGACTCCAAATTTTTCAAAAAAGGGTGCATCTTATACATGGGGAAATATGGCATATACCCTTTTAGTATCCTTTTAATGGTTTACTCTAGAAATGACAGCCTACGTCCTTAACTCATCGAGGGCCAATGTTAACTGGTACTTTTACACCCTTCAACCCTATTTTCTTTAAACAAAATTCCTTTGCTGTATTCTGGGACTGAATTCTCATTCATGGTGCTTACCTTTTTGAGTCCTTGATGATACTAGATCATCATTTTGTTACTTGATCTTAATCTGTGGTTCTCCTGTGAGTCTGTGTTTGGGGTGCTTTCCTTCAGAAACAGCTTGTGTCTGCTTCTGCTGGATGCCAGGGGATAATCCCAGCCTGTCTTGAGGAGCTCAGTTCAGTGAGAGAACCTTCATTCAGCTTACACCTCACTGCTGCTCACGCCTCATGCTCTGACTTAAGCTTGGTTGGCGTCAAGCTCAAGGCAGCTGCAGCCCTTCCAGCTGCCCAAGCCTGGGGCTGCCAGGAGCAGGAGACATTTTCATTGGGTGAGGGAGCTCCTTGGAAAACACTACATCATCTTACTAATCTAGGAATGCCCTAGAAGAGTGTTTTATCCAGGATCTATATATTTGGCTCATAAGAGAGACCTTTAGGTCTCTTCATCCATTATTTTGAAAGAAACAGTATCATTGACTTACTGTATTTGCCTAATTCAATGGGGCAAGAATGTCAGACCTCTGTGGAGTTAGCCTCTTGCAGCCTGTTTCTGCCACAGGAGAATAACGAGGCTTTGTATTGCTGTGCAATCACCTTTTCACTGTATAAGTTGAGAGGGGAGATAAGTGATGAGTATAATCTTCAATTATACACAAACTTTGGTTTGATGATGTGTAAAATGCACATTGTATATTTACAGCTTTAGGCTTGATACAGTGAGGTGTTACATAGTTATTTTGGTTGTCATTTTATAAAAGAGTACTTTATTGGATGTTGTATTTTCCCCATATTTTGACTTTTTTTCCCCAATTAAGAGATCAGTTCCTTTGAATTGAATTACTAGATGTAATGTTGAAGTATTTTGAAGGTTTTCCTTTCTTTTGTCTTACACTGCATACCATGGACCATAAGATTTGGGATGGTCATATGACACTAATATATAAAGGTGTAACAGTTGAGGTGTGCACATAACACTGTGTGTGTGTGTGTGTGTGTGTGTGCGCGCGCGTGCGCACACACACACAACCATAGCTATTTGGTATCCAGCAGAAAATTTTGATCTAGTTTAGACCCCTGACTTTTCTTTCAATCAATAGTATATAACAAAATGAAAGATGTGGCTATATTTAATTTTTTTGCAAATTACAATTTTGTTTATTTTGATTACTATAAATCAGTGATTTGTAGTAGGGGGTGATTTTGTGCCCTGTGTGACATTGGCACTGTCTGGAGACATTTTGGGTTGTCACACTGGGTTAGATGCTGCTAAACATCCCACAACACACAAGCCAGCCCCCCAACAAAAAATGAGGTTGAAAACCCTGCTCTAAGTAGCCTTACTCTTATGAGTTAGTTGATATCATAGAAGATTTGATGGAGCACTGACCGATGACCAACATTTGGGCTCCACAGCTTTTCTTTTTTTTTTTTTTTTAGATTTTATTTGGGAATTGGGAGAGGGGAACAGTGTTGGGGAATTGCGGGAGGGGAACAGCCAAGTTGTTGTCTTTCAATCTTAGTTGCGGGTGGGTGTAGCCACCATCCCATGCGGGAGTTGAACCAGCAGCCTCGTTGTTAGGAATGTACACTCTATCCACCGAGCCATCCATGTGGCAGCTCAGCTCAAGGTGTTGAGTTCAGTCTTTAGTTGTGGGCGGGCATAGCTCACCATCTCAAACAGGCAATCTTGTTGTTAGGAGCACGTGCTCTCACCAGCTGAGCCATCCTGCCACCTGTTGGCAGCTCAGTGGCAGCTCAGCTTGGGCTCAGCTCACTGGCCCATGTGGGAGTCGAACCGGCGACCCTGTTGCTCAGAGCTCGCACTCTTGAGTGAGCTCCTAACCAACTGAGCCACTTGGCCAGCCCTGGACTCCACAACTTTTATTTGTTTAAATCATATTCCCTGCTGCCTCCTCTCCCATTGCCCGTGTCCTTCATCTGACCCTTTCTAGCTGTCCTTAGACACAGGTCTCTGAATCTGCCTAGTGCTATGAAAATGTGCTCCGGCTAAGCCGATCTTCCTTCCTTTCTTACCGTCACATAAACCATGTGTTTCCTTTTTATGCCTCTAAAACTCTGTGATGTTTAACTTGAAAAAGAAATTTGGAGTACATCTTATTGAAAGACCATGTGGAAGGGCATTTCATTACATACGACCACACAGCTGTCCTACACACACAGCTTCAGAGAGAGATGGCCTTCCATTCGAATTTACATTTAACTTGGACAGTGACACACGTGGATGAGACACCCTGCCTCTGCTGACTCAGTGTGCATGTGTGACAGTAAATCATTTATAGATGGTGCATTTGAGTCTGGTCTTTCACAAGAAATGAGAGCTGGGGCTACCTTATGTTTGCTTATTTTCATTTGAAAGATTTGCTTTTTAACATGTGCATATGTTCTCCATTTTAAACTGATTCTCCTCCTGCATCCGTTTCTTCTAGGCACTGGCACACCTCCACTTAATTGAGTATGTCGGAGAGCAGACTGCTTTGCTAATAAAGGTACATTAAATGCTGCGACATGATATGCTCCAGCCACAGTGCCTTTGATTTGGTAAAAAAAAAAAAAAATCTGTAAGAATAGGTCACAGTAATTATGTGGAAAGTTTGGCAGAGGACCTATTTTATCCTGGGTGTCCTAGAGATGCCGGGAGCCTTTTCCCAAAGAATGTGTAATTACGCTGCCTGTAATTTTGCTATTAGCCTTTGGTTAAAACTTGTCTAAGGAGAGCAGCTGAGACTCCATCTCCGTAAGCGATGCGAGAGGTCCTAGCCCTGCAGCTGTGCTGGAAGGGCGGGACGGTGCGACCCCTGTGTCCTGCCACTGGGAAAGGGGTCGCTCAGTCCCTTCCATGGTTGGGGAACTAGGGTGTGGCTGGGCATCGCTCCCCTGTTACCTGTAGAACCCCCCAGGTCCCCAGTAGGGTTGGGAAAGCCCAGGCGGGTCCTGTTTGCACATCTGGGCTTGCCTTGCTGTCCTCGTGTGTCAGAGGATGAGCAGACAACCCCGTCTCCCTGCGAGCTCCCCACGTCCATGTCAGGTGCGCAGTGCGTGTGACGTGACAGTGTGGCCACAGCAGTCAGCACTGCTCTTACCCGCTCCTTCCAGGTGGTCCCAGAGGACCGGCGTCTCGCGGCTGCCATCGTCCTGGTGGTCTGGGTCTCGGCCCTTGCGTCATCCCTGATCGACAACATCCCCTTCACAGCTACGATGGTGAGTCGCACATCCCTCCATGCCCCAAGGGCCCCACCTCAGCCTGGACCCAGCCTGGGCTCGCCCTCCCTGCAGAGGAAGCAGAGGCTGGGCCCTGTCCTTGGCTGCACGCGCAGGTGGACAGGATGAACGTGGCTGAGCCTGGCAGTGGGGACAGAGCTGAGGCCCGTGGCTGCCATGGGCAGCATGTCCTGGCTCCGTCTGACTGAGAGCTGCTTCCCCTCCTGAGAAAGACAGTCTGATTTTATTGTTTTAAAGAAACTGGAAGCCTTGAAAAGACAGAGGCAGGTTGAAGGCACTCAGCCTCTGTCCCCTGTGAACATAAAGCCATTCTGGGCAGCCCTCTGCCTGCTGGGCCTGGCCAGGTGCGTGCTCATCACCCACATGGGGGAGCTGATCATTTTATCCTGTTTACCTCGGATTTTCTTGTTTTATTTGATTTGATTTTAATTTATTTTTTTATTGGGGAATTGGGGGAGGGGAACAGCCAAGTTGTTGTCCTTCAGTCATCTTAATTATGGAGGGCGCAGCTAGCTCAGCTCCAAGTCCAGTCGCCATCCGGCTGCCCATCGGTAGCTCGACGCCCCTCAGCTCAAGGTACCATGTTCAATCTTAGTTGTGTGTGGGCATAGCCCACCATTGCATGTGGGACTCGAACCAGCAACTTTGTTGTTAGGAGCACGTGCTCTCGCCAGCTGAGCCATCCTGCCACCTGTTGACAGCTCAGCTTGGGCACAGCTCACTGGCCCATGTGGGAATCAAATCAGCGACCCTGTTGCTCAGAGCTTGCGCTTTTAACCAACTGAGTCACTCGGCCGGCCTTTGCTTTATTTTTAAGAGATAAAATGTTATACGTGAACGTGACCTTTTCTGGTCTTTTAATCCCCCCGGATCCTTTTGTCTCCTGAGGACACTTCCCTCATGAGCCCAGGGCACATTCATTCATTTGATGGCACATCATGGAAGGGACAAAGGAAAGGACCTTGGTTTCTGTGTCAGTATGGATAGAAAGCAAACACTGAGAGGCCAAAGCGACAGCTGTGTGCACCACAGGCATGCCATGTGGCTTCATCAGGTCGGCACCTGGCTTACACAGTAGCCCCGTCACAGGAGTGCATGGACGGAGCTCCCCCCTCAGGTTGGAAGGGGCACAGATGTGCCCTGTCACAGTCCTTGGGCAGGAAGTGGACACGTGGCTCTGCCCGAATGCAGGGGTCTGAGAAGTGTGTGGCACAGGGACATTGGGTGGACACTGAGGTCTGTGCCACCTTGTCTCGCTCCCATCCTCCTTCCTTTTCACATGGGTGTCTTTTCGCCACATGTTTCTGTGGTGGTCGCGGGCTACATTCTGTAAGAATTCATACTGAGACACCCCTGAACAATTTACTCCATGTGTGTGTGTTTGTGTGTGTGTGTGTGTAAGCAATTTTGTATATGTGCATATGTGCAGGTGTGTCGACTGTGGTATTAGAGTCACCACTGCCAGTCTGATTGATCTGCTGACATGGCAGCTCACATTATGGGTTTTCTATGTCACCTTTCAAGCCAGCACATTTTTCTGCAGCCTCTGTGGGCGAGCTGGGCAGTGGGGCTCACTGTCGGCGTTGCCCCTAAGGCTGCTTTCACACGAGTGAGGTCTGCCCTCTTCTCTGCTCAGAGCCCTCGCCTGGTTTATCTTTTTCCAATTCTTTATATCCAGTCTTTCTTAAAAATCGTGGGGTTTTTTTTTTAAAGATTTTTATTGGGGAATTGCGGGGAGGGGAACAGCGCTGGGGAATTGGGGGAAGGGGAACAGACAAGTTGCTGTCGTTTTGTTCTTCAATCTAGTTGTGGAGGA